GCGCGTGGAGGGACGACAGTGCGATTCCGGAAAGTCTTTTTCGAAGGCCGCTGACCACAATTTTTTGTCTGGAGACTTTCCCTCTTTCTTCCTTTAACGTGGATCAAGCTTTGCCGACAGCCTCAGTTGTGACCTCTCTTTTCAAATGTACGTTTGCAGTGAGTGAGCTCCTCAGCCTCGGACTTGTCACTTGTGCACCCAGTAGTTCTTTCACTTGGCAATTATATGCCATCAGTTGGGGTTTAATTTCTATTATTTATGTATACATTATGAAGACGTCCTGGAGCTCCGAACGAGTGTTTTGTGCAGATTACTTTTGCAAACACGAAAAGACTATACCAAAGCAGCGGAATTTTCGAAGTGTTGGCGAGTTGGACCTAAACTCGTTGAAGCAAATTCTTCCGCCTGACTGTTCCACCAAAGTGAGTGCGACGGACAACCTGTGCTACCATTGCTTCATGCACATCACTAAGGAGATCTCGATGCGAAGCTCAGAGCAGTGCCCTGACATATTTGTGCCAGCTGAAGAAGCCATTGAAGATCTAAATCGCAGCATACTACCTACAGATGTGCCGCCGCTGAGACAACCAAGCGTCGTAAGAAGTCGGGACAGGCCTGCCTATGTCAAGAGAAAGCAGACAGAACTGGAGCAGGTTGCTGTCAAGGATATACGCTCAAGGCTACGTATTGCGTACGACAGGGACGCACCATCGGGGTCGTCCGAACTAACATGCTCCACATGCACTGAGTGGGTGGACAACTTTCGGCAGGCCTATGAAACCGCCACCTCTCTCCGGGAACGTTGTCAACTGCTTACACTCCTGCCGTCAACACTGACGAAGAATGAGGTTCAAAAGATGATTCCACAGGCCTCAATGTACCTCATCAGTAAATCCCGAAAACTCAAGGAAAAGCATGGCGTGTGTATGAGCCGGATCCTTACACGAGGTGCAAGGTGAGCCCTGAGAACCTGTCTGCTGCCCTAGAGTACTTCACGAAAGACGAGCTACAATGTTCGCGCCAAAGTCCCAACCAGAAGGACGTGATCTCTGTCATGCTCAACGGAGAGAAAACGTTCGTGCCAAAGCGCTTCATGACACGCTCAATACGAGAGGCCTTCCGTATATACAAAGACAAGCATCCCGATTCCGGCGTTGGGCTAACGAAATTTTATTCGTTGCGCCCTAGATGGGTCCAATGTATTCCACACCAGGAAGTGTGCGTTTGTGTGCGCTGCGCCAATTATTATTTTTGTATTGCCGCTCTAGAGAACGTTACAGGCTCAACATTCAACACTGGTGAAATGAACTCGGCATTTCTGTGCGACCCAGCAACAGAACTGTGCCTTCAAGGGGACTGTGATCACTGCCCAAAAGGCCAGTTTCTTACACTCCAGGAACTTGATATCCCGGAGGATGAAGAGATTGTGCTTGCAACATGGGAGTCCGGCGACCTTGTGAAAAAAACTTTGGAACCTGAGACTTTCCTAAAAGTCATCCAAGTGACGGTTGGAAGTTGGGTACTTCACAACCATATCCGGCAAACGCAAGGTAAAGCGATCTACGATGAAAAACAGTGCATGCAACGCGGGAGCATTGTCTTTCATTTTGACTTTGCTGAGAACTGGACCATCGTGCTTCCTGACGAAGTGCAAGCATATCACTGGAAAAAAAAAACAAGTTTCGATATTTACATGTGTAGTGACAAGAAAATCTACAAACAGCTTTGCCATCATTAGTGAGGACCTGTGTCACGACGCCGCTCACGCTTGCTTGGCTCTAGAAAAAGTGAAGGAGTGGGTTAAAGACAACGTTGCGGTATACTCGTACGTGACGTACGTAAGTGGCGGCGCCGCCAGTCATTTCAAGAATCGCTACCAGCTTCACCAATTTGCAAAGGACGATTGCCCACAAGCCCAGTGGTTATTTTCTGCATCTGGACATGGGAAAAATGCATGTGACGGAGTTGGCGGACTCGTGAAGCACCAGGCCACGCTGAACAACCTGAGAGAACGTTCAGTAAGCGCAATTCAGACGGCCAGAACAATGGTGAGCGTTCTATCAAAGAAACTGAAAGGCGTGCATCTTGTATATCTGGACGAAAATGAGGTTGTTCGGTATCGTGAACAAAAAAAAGAAGAGTGGCTGACGGTGCGCGCCTTCCCTGGCATTCAGTCTTGGCACGCGTGGCGGCTCAGCAAGTCATCAACAGAAGGGACCTGTGACGTACATGTAGCACGGACAGTCGGATCTGCTTGGAAGCAACTTTATTAAATGGGTACAGCGAGGAAAACCTTAGCGTAAAGTGCCGAATTTGATTTCCCAAGGACTGCTCATTTTGAATGCAGGGACATCTTATTTATCACATTTTTCTTCACGGGGTATTTAACATACTGTTTTTGTTGGTGGTTACTAATAATTTTTATCTGATCACTATAAAAAAAATCCCAAAATGTTATCCTCGAGCAGGATAAAATATATCGGCTTGCCACGATTCATTCATACACCGAGAGCATCGAAGCTGCTCCAGTTAGGCACTATGGCATCCGTCACCTGAAATTGTTTGTAATCGTAAATACACAGCCAACCTAAATATCTTACTATTATATCTTTGTTTTTGTGTGTGGAAGTAAAGTTATTTATTTTACTCTAGATGTAAAATATACCGGAAGGTACAACTTCACACTGCATCATCTTTTCTCAAATCATTAGTCTCTAATATGATACCACTTTGTACGCTTATGTAAAATGCTGTATATAGTTTCTCCTCCCTTTTACTGTGTGACCGATCGCTCTTTTTATCAATGACCTCATCTGAATAAATGTATATAAAAGATTTGTGCAAGTTTCATGAAACTGGAACTCAGTCACTTCTTGTATAGGACACTGCTAAGTGTAGGCTTTGAAAAAGGACCCTACTTTGGGGAGTTGTTTCTTCTTTCACAGTGCAATGATGCAACATGTTTTTAATAGAAATGAATGCCGAAATAGAGTATAACAGGGTACCCAAATTTTAAAAAAAATCGAAGGTGGTGTTTTTTTTTTATTCGCATTGGAATTTTTCTTTGTTTGATTTTTTTCCCATGTTTGCCGAAATATATTGTAACTATTGTGTCACTCAGATACCTTATTTAGTTTTTCAATAATAGCCATATTATAGTAAAATAATGTCTGCAAGTTATGTAATAATGATTAAATTATTTCATGAGATACAGATTTCCAAAGTTTGCCATTTGTCGTTCGAGCAGGCATGTTTGGCAATTTTTAGAAAACTAAATAAATTTTTAATAAATATTATTACTTTATATTACAAGCAAGTTGTACCCATAGTTTGTTTGTAAAAAGTTTTAAAATTCTCCTAATTTTATTGTTTTAATTATTCCCTCTCAAACTTGCCCCCTCCATCAGTGCGCGTTATTGCAACTGTCCACCTCTCCCTGCCTTACGATTTTTCTTGTCTCCAAATTTTTTTTGTGGTCAAAACTAAGTGTGGATTCGTTTATACCAGACACTAGACAATGTCATATAAAAACATCAGTTGATTTAAAAATGTCGACCAGCCACCCTTTAGTCGATCTTATCTGAAATCACCCACAAATGATTTGCGGCAACACATCCCTGCACTTGAAAAAGGGCGTTGGCAACTGACAGCCGCTTAACAGATAGATCACGAAGGCATGCCATCGGCGCATTCAAGCCGCGACATTGTGCCGTAGGCGTTCGTGAAGGGATCGCGCCGCAGCGCTGCATATGCCTCAGCTTCGCAAACATTCGGACAAATGGTTCGCGGCGACAAAGCGGCGTGCTGTATCTTGGTCAAGTAAGCGGCACTCGAAGGCACACGCTACAGTGCGAGTCAACGGAGCGAGCGCGGGCGGCCAAATCACAGCGCACTCGGCTCCCACGTCGCGATTGTTGATTCAGAGCTCTGCCTGCCCCTATGACATGTGCGCGGGTGTTCATAAACGGCTCCTCTCGACTGGCACGCGGGTCAAATGAACCAAAATGAACAGCTAACAGCGCGATAGGAATCGGTAGTAACGCTAGTACTCACCCGGGGAACGACGCGCGAAGCGGCGTGTTGTCCGTCGGCACTCCCGTCGAAAAAGGCGAAATAAAGACGCAAATACTATATATATATATATATATATATATATATATATATATATATATATATATATATATATATATATATATATATATATATACAAGAAATATCGCGCGCGAAAGAGAATAGGAACACTTAGAAGCAATAAAAAATACAGTGGAATAGATAAAAATAGGTAATAAAATCGAAAAACAGAGGATCAAGAGGAGGCAAGCGACAAGGCAATGCGATTTCAAGGCAGAGCGGCCAGGTGAGGGACAATCTCTCCCAGAATTTCTCGCGCGCGGGCCGGGGCGCTTGGGGGATTTCGCCAAAAATCTATTGTGATGGGACCACCGCTGGTGCAGAGAAGGCATCCCAAGTAAGCGTGCCGTCGTTTTGCCTTCACTATTAGCGGCGAGATGTTTTGGTGGCGCCCTCCTATGGTTCCCTCTCGGGGCGTCATTACCTTAAGAACAAGTTCGATGGTGTTTGAAATTAGCATGGTGGAAGCTTGAAATAATTGCAATCTGAAACCAACACTGCCAGCACTGTCAAAAAGGAAGCTCTTACATAACTCTTATTTCTGTCAATGAGAAATTCTTTGCTGACGTCAAAGCTATATAGCACACGGCCAATCATTGAAGGCCGACCACAGCGACGCTTTCAATTGCGCACGTCGCCAATAGATTTACCCTCTCATAGCCGAGGTGGGACCCACGGGGCAATGGCGCGTGCAGCTCAAATTTGGCATGCCAGCGTCGCACCATCGTGGAACCCGCACGGGAGTATATTCTATTTGCTGCCCCATGGCAACCTTGTCCACGTGGAGACCACGTTTACCGTAGTAGGTCTGCTACCTGGCAGCCTTCAGTTCTTCTACGAATTTACTCGCACACTTAAGCGTTTCGTACTTGCGGTTTTTGACGCAGCTCCTATTAGTGCCGCCGGGATGGTGAGAAAGAAACAGGCCATCGCGGTGAAGAAGGAGAGCAGCTTCGCATTCACCACGCTTTTGCACGAGAGGACGCGTTGGAAATACACCTGAAAACAAAATGTCGATTATTCATGGTTATTCATCATACGGCGTGTCTGTGGGGAGACGGGGGTTCTTCAGGTCGATTTCTAAGACCTTGATTTTTGGCAAACTCACTGCGGAGCACAAGCCCACTCACCGATGTTGCTTGACGCTATCCACAACCAAGTCTGCGCAGCATCACAGTAGGTATCATTGACGTCAACATTTGCTGGATTTGAGTAATATTCTGAGTATTTTGTGCCGTTTGCCGCCTGACAATAACGTCAATTTATCAGAGTATCTAGATTCTAGAATGTATCAGATATATATTTGCGAAGTATACAACACAGTAACCATCCAGTTCAAAGGGTATTTTAGTAGTCGCTGGTTATGAAACTTGCCACTACTGCTTGAAAATAGCGCGGCGGCACGGGTTTCCAGTCGCCGATTGGATACTGAACTAGCTTATTTCTTAGACAAGCTACCCATCATATACACGCTGTCACCTCAATGAAAGAGTAGACGCGTGTACCCTGTTGAGTGCTTTTGGTCACATGCTGTCTCGTATGTTAATCTGTTCCGTAAATGAGTCCTTGTAAAAAGGTAGCTGTGAGAAAAGTGTGCGTTTTTGCATAGGAGTGAAACTTAATATTCATGGCAAGGTAAATGATAAATGCACATAATACGCATGACATTACTTCAGTCTACGAGATTGAAGGAGCGGTTCATACATCGTAGTTGCCATTAGCCATCGAAGGTCAGCTTATCAAAATTGCAATTTCAACTGCTCGAGTGGCACTACCAGTTCTATCTCCCGCAGACGTTTCCCTTCGTGTATACTTCAAGCACCATGAAAACGGAAACGCCCGGTCAAGCCAAATGAGGAAGTGTATTTTAAGTGTTCATTCTTATATGCGCCGCCAATAGGACAAAAAAAAAAGGCTGTCTTTTTGGCTTTTCCCGAGGGCATATCAAATGCATAGCCTTTATAAGAGGGTTTCGCGAATATACGAAGCCGCCAATGTCACTGGACGGTACGCGACGCTGACGTAAATAAACGTCGTGTTGTGACGTCAGTTCACGATATTGCCGCGCGCAAGGCTGAGAAAGAAACGCTCGGTCACGGTCCTCCAGAAAGTTCCCGTTTATTCATGTACCGCACGTAACTTCTATCATTTATCCCTGCTTTTGTTTTCTAGAAAGTACGTGTTCATTCTCGCCCCGATCACGCGACGCTCGAACCGCTTTCGCCGAATCTTCGAGATAGCGGCGCACTCTAGATAAGAGGCCGCCCGCGACCTTGTCGAGCAGTCTCGCCCTAGCGCTCGATTCTGCTGACACGCCGACTTCGACGCCCGCGACGCTCTGCTTTCTTCTGTCTCCTTCTTTATTTTTGGCACAAGTTCGCCACATTAAACGTTTATTTATTTCTGTTTATTTCTTGTTTATTAGTCACCACCCGTGACATTTTGGTGGAGGTGCGGGGTACCGCATGTTCGTGCAGCGCAGCCCCCCAAGTTCCCGCACTGCAAGTCCGAACCCAAGCTCCCGAGGACCCAACGAAGACCAGATCGAGACTCGATCAAGTCGCCGAACCCAAGGGCTACACCCGGAATACGGACCTTTACCACCCAGGACCAGGCAGCCGACGATGGCCAACCAGTCGCAGACCCCCGCCGCTCCTGCCGTCGTCTACCTACCTGTCGCTCCTCGGACACCGGCTCCATTCCACGGCGAGCAGTACGAAGACGTCGAAGACTGGATTGACCAGTATGAACGCGTTGCCCGCCACAATTGCTGGACAGACGAGCAGCGCCTACACAATGTCTATTTTTCGCTTGAGGGGACTGCCAAGCACTGGTACGAGAATCATGAGTCCTCCCTGACGTCGTGGGACATTTTCAAGAACGATCTCAAGGCTACCTTCATCAACCACCACCGCCGAGAGAGAGCCGAGGACCTACTGCGAACCAGAACCCAGGGCCCCAACGAGAGTGTCACCGGCTTCGTAGAGGACGTCCTGCGCCTGAGCGCCCGCGCCGACCCTCGGGCTACAGAGGAGAAGAAGCTACGAATCCTCATGCGGGGCGTGAGAGAAAACATCTTTGGTGGCCTTGTTCGCAGCCCTCCGACAACTGTCGAAGACTTTGTCGCCGAGGCAACGAACATCGAGCGTGCCCTGCAAGCCCGAGCCAGCCACTACCAGAGGCTACCCGGCGTCAGCGCGGTTCCGCCGTCCGCTTGCGACCTTGGGTCCAGCATCCCAAGCATTCGCGAGATCATTCGCGACGTCGTCCGGGAGGAGCTGCGAAAGCTACTACCCGCCGCGGACCGACCAGGTTCGCTCTCCATCGCTGAGGTCGTGCGGGAAGAGGTGCAGAGAGCCATTCAACCAGAGGCTCCCATCAACGCAGCAGTCTCCGAAGAACCCGCGCTAACTTACGCCGCAGTGGCCCGACGGCCACCGCCTCCTCCTCGCGCCTATGTCGCGCCGCCCCGACGCCAGTCTCCTGCGCCGCAGCACGACCGACGCCACTACGACCAGCCCCAGTACGCCAGCCAGGAGCCCCGTGCACCCCGGAAGACCGATGTGTGGCGAACGCCCGACCGACGCCCTCTGTGCTTCCACTGCGGGGAGGCAGACCACACCTACCGCCGATGCCCATACCGTCGACTCGGGCTGCGCGGATTCCACCCAAGCGACCCGCGCCCCCGGTATGGTGAACGCCCTCGGGAGATCGACGAGTACCTGCGACGACCCCAGTCCCCCGAGCCTGCGTCCCGCCGAGAGTTCCGGTCGCCGTCACCGCGACGTCCAGCTTCGCCGATGCACCGACCCCGACGTGAAAGCCTGTCGCCCCTCGCTCCTCGCCGGGGAAACTAGGCGCGGCAACCCCTGGAGGTGGAGTTGCCGAAGACGACCGACGTAAAGAGCCTCCACGAACGACGGAGCGCTCCCACTCTCCCGACGATACGCATCACAACGACGCTCCTGCTTCGGTGTCCAACAACTTAAACGTTGTTATTGACGGCCTCGACTCATCGGCACTCGTGGACACCGGAGCAGACTACTCAGTCTTGAGTGGGAGGCTCTCTCGCCGCCTGCGAAAAGTCATGACGCCGTGGGATGGACCCCAAATACGAACCGCCGGAGGACATCTCATCACGCCAGTCGGGAGATGCACTGCTCGCGTCGAGATCCACGGTGAAACGTGCCCTGTGAAGTTCGTCGTTCTGCAAGACTGTTCGAGGGACGTTATCCTCGGAATGGACTTTCTCTGCGAGTATGGCGCCGTCATCGACCTCGGGGCAAACCAGTTGACGCTGCGGAAACCTGTTTTACCGCCGGTAGAGACCAACACAACATCAACCGCGATCCGAGTTATCGCCGACCATGTGAACCTACCGCCGCGGTCGAGTGTTTTCGTCACCGTTATGGCCAACGCCGCCATGCACGGTGAAGCTCTTCTGGAAGGCAGCGTCCAACTGCTCCTCGAAAAAGGAATTGGCGTCGCAAGAGGCGTAACAGATCTCCAAGAAAGACGTACAACTGTTCTTGTGACGAACTTTCGAGAGGAGCCGCAGCACCTAACGAAGGGTACCACCGTGGGCCACGTCGAGGAGCTTCAAGCGCCAGCGGTGGTCACCGCAATCTCCGAGGAAACCTCGTCGCCGCAGCAGAAAAGCACGACGCCGCCGCCGCTCGACATTGACCCCGAGCTCCCAGCTACGAAGCGCGGCAACTGATTGATCTCCTTGCCGAATACAGTGACTGTTTCGCCACGACATCAAAGATTCGCCAAACACCAATGGCGAAACATCGCATTGTTACCGACGACGACGCACTTCCTGTCCACCAGTCGCCGTATCGGGTCTCCTTAAAGGAAAGGAAAGTGATTCAAGATCAAGTCCAGGAGATGCTCGACGACGACATCATTCAACCCTCAAGGAGCCCATGGGCGTCCCCAGTCGTCCTTGTAAAGAAGAAGGACGGAACCCTGCGGTTCTGCGTGGACTATCGTCGACTGAACGCCGTGACAAAGAAGGACGTCTATCCGCTCCCCCGCATCGATGATACGTTAGACCGACTGCGCCACTCCCGATATTTTTCGTCGATGGACCTGAAGAGTGGTTATTGGCAGATTGAAGTCGACGAACGTGACCGGGAGAAAACTGCCTTCGTCACTCCCGACGGACTATACGAATTCAAAGTGATGCCGTTCGGACTTTGTACAGCACCAGCCACCTTCCAGCGCGTCATGGACACCGTGCTGGCAGGTCTGAAATGGCAGAGCTGCCTCGTCTACCTGGACGATGTCGTGGTATTCTCACGAGATTTCGACGAACACCTCAGACGACTTCGAGCCGTGCTTCAAGCCATCAAGACCGCCGGCCTGTCACTCAAGCCAACAAAGTGTCGGTTCGCCTATGGGGAACTAAAGTTCCTTGGCCACGTCGTGAACAACAAGGGTGTTCTACCTGACCCCGAGAAGACCCGCGCCGTAGCTGCATTTACGCCGCCGTCTGACAAGAAGGCCGTGAGAAGATTTCTCGGACTCTGTGCCTACTACAGGCGCTTTGTTCGAGACTTCGCCAAGCTATCCGCACCGCTGACACACCTCACGAAGGACGCCGTAAAGTTCGAGTGGACAGAAGAACACCAGAGGTCATTCGACGAGCTCAAACGAAGACTCCAGACGCCCCCGATTCTTGGCCATTTCGACCAGTTTGCTGAAACCGAGATCCACACCGACGCCAGTAACACCGGACTGGGTGCGGTACTAGTCCAAGTGCAGGACGGAGCCGAGCGAGTTATCGCATACGCAAGTCGGACGCTGTCTAAAGCGGAGAGGAACTATTCAACGACCGAGAAGGAGTGCCTCGCTGTCGTATGGGCAATAACAAAGTTTCGCCCATATTTGTATGGAAGTTCTTTTCGCGTAGTCACAGACCACCACTCGCTCTGCTGGCTGGCGAATCTGAAGGACCCCTCCGGACGCCTCGCTCGGTGGAGCCT